AATAAAAACTATTATAAAAGTAACAAACCTTATAAACTAACTTGTAAAAGATAGTTACGGTATGATAACTATATGTATTGGATGTTTTTATTTTTTACATTAATTTTGTAATTAATAATTTAATTGCACTATAATTGTATTACCTTAAAAATGTATTACACATCGTTAATGCATACGTCGAAGTGGAAATATGTATGCTTTTGCGTCTGCAAAAACTTTTTAAGAATAAATCATTTATTTGTATAAAATTATTGAAATAATAAATTAATGTTGGTAAAGCACAATTTTGGGATATCTGGCAACAGGCCTCCGTGGCGCAATCGGCTAGCGCGTTCGGCTGTTAACCGAAAGGTTGGTGGTTCGAGCCCACCCGGGGGCGTTTGTTTTTGACAATTCCCCAAATACGTTATAGTTTTTATTGCATTTTAATAGAATACAAATTCATGAGAAATGTAGGACAGCTGTTGAAATACTTAAAGCAAGTATTGTAAATTCTAAAATTTTGAAATGTAATTTCGTCAATAAAACCAAAAAGTGTTCAAAAACAGAATTTATTATTGCTAATCAACTACGTAGAATATCACAATTTTATCTCATTTCAGTTCTGAAACAATTTGTGAATGAAGAAAACACAGTACTTGTTTCTGCTGTAAGAAATATCCTTTTTTAGGCGTATAAATGTATTTTCCTTAAAAATGACGGAAGGGGTTACTGAAACCATTGCTACAGATGAAATAAACATTGGGAAACTTGCCTAGCGCTTTTTCATTAAAAAATTTTTATTTTTAAAAATGTTTTACTGTCAGTCAATAATAACAACAATTTCCAACATTTTCGCAAAGTAAAGAAAAAACCAAAAAATTCCTCTCCGTGACAATGTATTGAAACATTGCCGTGACCAGGATTCGAACCTGGGTTACTACGGCCACAACGTAGGGTCCTAACCACTAGACGATCACGGCTACCGAGGAAGTTGAGAGTCGAACTCTTATAACCACTGTTATATCATGCTATATTATAAATAATCAATTTCATATAACAATTCAACATGGTAAAACGATTAATCAACGCTTTTAAATGTTATGTTGTATAATTGCAGTGAAACTTTAATAAACATATTAATTAGGATCTAATTCTATATATATACAACCTGCAATGCGTGCTTGAATCTAGAATTTGGTATTGCCTATACTGACCCTTAGAAATTTGAAAAATGGATTATTTATAATTAATTACTGCCTGATGGGTAGATAAATTGCAATACACATTTGTTTCCTAATTTTGTGGTAACCTATATTCAATCGTATAAATTGCAAAAATATGGGATTATTTTTTATTTTAAAAAAGTAGTGCTGATTGCAAACAATAAACATAATTGTTTTCCAGTTTGGTGGCTACTTGTATTGGCTTCTAGAAACGGTAAAGATAGAATATTTGGTTAATAGCTAATAAAAATCTTTTATTGAATGCGAAATAAGTTACACAGCGGTAATTTCTTTTACAATCGTTGATAGATTAACGATTAATTTGTAATAAGGGTCAACATGTTGAAGTTATTTTATTTCGTATTCAATATTTGATCAATGTTATTATAAGCATCATGAAAATCTTCTTTTGAATTGTTTTGCTTTTATTTTAATATTGTTGAGATTACAGAATGATCTAAAATTTAGAAGTTATACAAAAAAAGGTATAGTTTTTTGAAATTTTTCATTCGCATACATTAATCAATAAATGAATTACTAGTTATTGAGTACAGGCTCGAAAGCTTGAAAACGATGTGTATGTACTCTTCTTTGTATTGTGAATTAGCATTTCAAGTGAGTGGTAAAATTTAATGATTTATTAAGGCAAGAACTAACAGAATGTGGTTATAAAGAAAACGAATGAAAAGTGAAAATTGCACCTCCATTTTTGCAGTCTCATTTTTCAGGAAAAGCTTTTATGTTCAATTTCCTTTCATTTTCTTTGTAATCAGATATAAAGTGCCAGATATCAAAGAGGAAGTGCTACATTCTTTGAACAATAATGCTCTCTTTCTCTCTATATCTACAGAGCTTTTACCAAACTCAGGGTAATATGACACGAGCCGAATTCTTATTTGCTCTCACTGTTCAAGTGGCAATTTTCTGCCAGACAGAATCGTCCGACGATATTAAATTTCTCCAGTTTGTAGCTAAAATATGCTTAATTGCTGAAAATGTACTCAGAAGCAGCTTGATTTGCCAGCTAGTAGAATTGTTTGAACGTTTTTTACTAAATATAACTCTTACTAATTATTTACTAAAATCTATTTTTATTTTAATTTTTAAATATAACATATGCAATTACATTAAATTTCAATCTGAAGACTTATAGAAAACCTCATACGGGTACCATGATATTTCATACCTTCTTTCTCGTTTGTTTATTATTACTTATTATAATTTCCTCATTTTCTTTTTATTTTTTCTGTATACATTAAATGCAGCTTAATAATCACTGAATTTAAATAAACTGGTTATTTTGATTGATTTGTTAGAATGTGACTGCACTCTAAGTAAAAAATGGAGACTATATATATACACGTGTTTCTCTCGTGTTGACCATGCCTGCATTAAGTGACAAAATACGTGCTCGCAGTGAATAATAGGTTATAGCAGGAGAAGATAACACCAACGAAGTAAGCAAAAATATATAATCTGATATGTGATGATATGTGAAATGCGTTGATATCAAATCAATTTTATCGTGGTTTCACTTTTGCCCGGGTCCATTCTTGTTTAGTTGATAAGGATAAAATGAAGTGATCTATACGGAAGAAAAATATAGTTGTGGGATGTTCAAAATTGGCATCTAGAGCGGTTGCTGACAGAACGCGTACTTTTACTTATGACAGATGATATTGTAGGGAACATAGACATACATTAATGGACGTGCCTTAGCCGTATGTCGTTGTAATAATTTCTTGGCTCGAAAAGTGAGGGAGATGGTGTATGGTTTCGGACTAGTGCTATCTCTTTCATGACACGCTTACGCACTAACGTGAGAGAGATGGATATTGTCCGAAACTTCGTTCCATCTCTTTCTTTTGTTGTACCACAATTCTGACCGCTAAGGCACGACCATTAGTAAAGGTCGATGGTAGGGAATATAGTAAGCATAGAAAAGAGATGTCAGGTAGGAATTGCAGCGGACACTGGTAAGAATTTGAGCATGCTGGCAGCATCGGACTTTGATTCAACATTATCAGGAATTTAGAAAAACAAAGACACTTGTTTAAAGATATAATTCTAACCAGGCAGTTGTAGCAGCCCACCCTGACCTTTTGCGTACCTAAGTAACCTCTAACTGCTACATCACTTACTATTATTCGGTTATCTGTACTCTTTTTTCTTATATTCAACTATACAAATACGGCACTGACGCCCTAACGGAAAAACTAGTCATGGAACATTACTCAAAAACATCCCCTCTATTAATTTCTGTAATAATCTCAGACATAGTATTCCTTGTCTATCTTTTACAGAAAATAGCAAGAAATAAAAAGTGGCATCCTATTTCTTTTTCTGAATACCAACGAAACAGTTCCCTTAGAATGAGACCCCCATCCGAAGGATTGTCCTCTTATTATGTTGTATAGTGGTGGTAACATTATTATTTGCTTTCATAATGTAAAGGTAACAATAACTACATTGTTGTCACGTTATAAAGCGGCATTTCAAAATGTTGCGCCCTGCGGTTCCATATTTCATACTCGCACTTTTAATGAAATATAATTCGAATTATTTTACCAAATGGTAGGGTAGCGACGTGGTGTCCGAATATTTAAAATGTCACAGCACAAATTACTTATACATTGTTATTCCGTCAGTCTCTCTGACAGATGCGGTATCCGGTTACGTTACGGTAGAATAAAGGGAAAGCCCCTTCAAATTCACATTGTTACATTCAAACGCAAGTGTTGAATAAGGTTCCAAGTTCTATATAGCGATCAAACTGCCATAAAATCAAATTCATGTCA